AGTTTCAAGGAGATAGCTGCAGGGGTTTCTGGGAAACTGCGCCTCAGAATGTTCAGAGCAAAACTCGTGTCACTTGTCAATGTGAAGGCGCAGTGGGCTGAAAACAGCAGGTATGGTAGCCCCTACTGAGGCCATGAAGCCTGTCAAGTTTCAAGGAGATGGGTGTAGGGGTTTCTGGGAAACTGCACCTCAAGCAGCTGACAAGCAAAACTCTTGATGTAGACTTTGTGTGTGTGCTAAGGCATGCCCTCACTGGCACTGGGGCCTCTACACAACACGGTAGTGTGCCCCAATGAGGCCTCCTCCTCCCCTACAGCCTCATCCTGGTCCACCGCTTTAAATAACAGGTAAGCAGCACAGTACCACTAGCAGCATCTCAGGCAGCCAAACTGTCACAGAGTCTTTCTTTTCTTTCCTGCTGGAGCTTCTTCTTCAGCAGCTGCCCACGAACTCTCCCTGGGCCTTAGATGGGGCCAGGGCCCTGGCTTCTGCTCAGCTGACCAGGGACAGGTGCTAGGGGTGTAGGTTCTGGCTGTGTTGGTCTAAGGACATGGCAATGGCAGACAAGGTTCTTTGAGTCAATCTAATATCTTTTAGTAGACCAACTGAATAGTTGGAGAAATAGATCTTAGCAATCTTTCAGTTTTAATACCCTTCATCAGGCTGAGGAAGTACCTGCACTTGGTGTGTGAACTGTTCCTGAATGGAAGGAATAGTAAGGAGGCCAGAGGCTGGCATGCAGTGCAGGCAAGAATGCCAGTCAGTGAAAATGGAAATGGAGTTGTCAGGGGGTGAGGGTCAGGCTGGGGTGGGGGTGTAGGGGGATGTAGCATTGCAGGTAAAAGTAGAGAGGTACTTGGGGAGTCAGACATCGGCAGATTGCAGTGTGTCAGAATTCCAATGTCTGTATTGAGTCCACGAGTTTCTGTACCTAGGAGGTTGATGAAGTGCAGTTCATAGGCTCGTCTGTGAAAAGTGGTTTGTAAATTCAAACAAGCTCTGAAACTCGCTAACCTCATCACCAGAAGCCAACTTCCTACAGCCCAAAATACACTGAATGGATCCAGACTGTGCCATGACAAGACATGCAAAACCTGCGAACAATATCTCCAATATGGACATATCTTCACAATACAATACATCTCTCCATCAGGGCACCAACTGATGGAAAATACATAGGAGACACCAAGCAGCAACTGCACACAAGAATGAGCACACACTGAAAATCTATCAAAGACAAGAACACCCAACTACCTGTCTCCAGTCTCTCAGGCCTGATTCTCAAAGGAAATTTACTAACCACTTTTCACAGACGAGCCTACAAACTTCACTACATCAATCTCCTGGATACAGAAACTCATGGACTCAATATAGACATTGAAATTCTGACATACCATAACCTGCTGGACATCTAACTCCCCAGGTACCTCTCCACTTTTACCAGCTACATCCCCCCACCCTCCCACCACAGCCTGTCCCTTAACCCCTGACACCTCCAATGCATCCCTGACAACAAGGTGGAACTTGTATGCCACACAGTGGATACCAACAAAGTTGGCATCACAGGCTGCCTTGACCATATTGGCTCCACTGTCGGTGACCATGAACCCGCAGGTGAGTTCGCACTGCCCACAGAGCCACCCCTACACCAAGCAATTCATGGCCTCCATGATCTCGGTTGCCGTGTGGGACTCATCCATCACCTCAGCTTGAAGGAGAGCCCACCAACGGCCTCACTGAATGCACCAATGCTCTGTGAGGGGGAGGTGGACGTGATCTCCACCCTGGTTGCTCCAGGTGTCTGAGGTGAAGCTTAAAGCCACCTGCAGACTGGCCTTGCACAGGTCCTCCCTCAATTACTCCTGCATGCCTGATACAGGGACGGCACCACCATCCTGCTGTTGGTTGTGTGTGCAGGCACTTTGTACAATGGGGCCACAAACTCCATAAGCCACCTGAACCCTGGCCACTCAACTAAGGAGAAGGGCTGGCCATCCAGCGCAAGTATCTCCCC